CTTCCCTCCCGGGGAAGCTCAGGGCGTGCCCAGGACTGGCGGTACCTCCCCAAGGGCCACGCTCCCTCACGGGACAGACACAGGGAAAGGCAGGGACACCAGCCAGTGAAAACCCACAGGCGGGCGGTCCGCCACTGCTCACTCCCGTGAGTCGTCATGGGCGAGCGAACGGGCCTAAGCCACAGGCCACCCAAACGCCACTTCCCCTCGCGGGCAAACACGTCGACGCTCAGCCCGCGGCCCGACAGAGTCCGAGGACGAGGCGGGCAGTACTCACTGTCTTCTCCAGGGCACGGCATGCCGGGCTGCTCGGGGGTGCTCGGGAACACTGCACGGGGAGGGGGAGAGGGGGGGAGAGTTAGCACCGAGTGTCTGTCACAGGTACAGTCTCAGGGGAAGGCGGCAGGTTGGGCTGACCACACACGTGCCCAGAGCCCGCGTGGCCAAAGATCCCCTGCTTCTGGGAGATGCTCAGAAAGGCAAAGAGCCCTGGCCGGTGAGGCCCAGTGGATAGAGCGTCGGCCTGCGGACTGAAGGGTCCCAGGCTCGATTCCCGGTCAGGGCACATGCCCGGGTGGCGGGCTCGATCCCCAGTGGCAGGCGAGCAGGAGGCGGCAGATCTATGATTCACTCTCATCATTGATGTTTCTGTCTCTCTCTCCCTTCCTCTCTGAAAGTAATAAAAAAATATTTTTTAAAAAAGAAAGGCAAAGACTGGGAACCAAGCACATGCGCGTCCGCCCCAGTCCCCCCTACAGGACCCGGGGTTACGGGGCGTCAGGGGCACTAAGTTAGTGCGAGGGGAGGGGCCCACAGTCCCTCTGGAAGTCGACGTCTGAACGCTCACTACACTCCGTTCTCCGGACGCAGTTCACCACTAAACCAGGCTGACCACACACGTGCACGGAGCCCGCGTGGCCGAAGATCCCTGCTTCTGGGAGTTGCTCAGAAAGGCAAGGAGCCCTGGCCGGTGTGGCTCAGTGGACAGAGCGTCGGCCTGCGGACTGAAGGGTCCCAGGTTCGATTCCCGGTCAAGGGCACACGCCCGGGTTGCGGGCTCGATCCCCAGTGGCAGACATGCAGGAGGCAGCCGATCTATGTTTCTCTCTCATCATTGATGTTTCTGTCTCTCTCTCCCTTCCTCTCTGAAATTAATAAAAAAATATTTTTAAAAAAAGAAAGGCAAAGACTGGGAACCAAGCACATGCGCGTCCGCCCCAGTCCCCCCTACAGGACCCGGGGTTACGGGGCGTCAGGGGCACTAAGTTAGTGCGAGGGGAGGGGCCCACAGTCCCTCTGGAAGTCGACGTCTGAACGCTCACTACACTCCGTTCTCCGGACGCAGTTCACCACTAAATACTGTCACACGACCCCAGGCCTCCCGGTAACTTATTAAAACAGAAGCTTAGGAAGATGGAAACCAAGCTAAAGCAGCCTTCCTCTGAACCTGGAAAACGGGGTGTTTAAACGCCACGGCTGTGATGCTGCCGCACATACACGTGCTCGCACCCCAATACCAAAGGGGACCAGGTGAACTCCGTATCTGAGCCTCGTTTGTAGAAAGAGCTGCCAAAACAGGGCATTTTAACCAACTAGCAGCCCAGCGTTAGAGAAAGTGACCAGCGACAGGAAACGGTGACCTTTTCACACTCCCGCCCGCCACGCGGCTGGTCGGCCACGGCTGCCCCAGCCTCGCTCGTGGGCCCACAGACACCCCTCGGAGCCCTGAACATGTGAAAGCCCCAATTCAAAATGAAAACCAACCTTTTAAAATATACATATTTTTTTATTGATTTCAGAGAGGGAGGGAGAGAGATACAAGCATCAATGATGAGAGAGAATCACGGATCAGCTGCCTCCTGCACGCCCCACACTGGGGACTCAGCCTGTGCGAGGGGAGGGGCCCGCAGTCCCTCTGGAAGGCGACGCCTGGAAGCTCACTACACTCCGTTCTCCGGACGCAGTTCACCACTAAACCCCAGGCCTCCCCGGTAATTTGTTAAAACAGAAGCTTAGGAAGATGGAAACCAAGCTAAAGCAACCTTTCTCTGAATCTGGAAAACGAGGTGTTTAAACGCCACGGCTGTAATGCTGCCGCACATACACATGCTCGCACCCCAATACCAAAGGGGACCAGGTGAACTCCGTATCTGAGCCTCGTTTGTAGAAAGAGCTGCCAAAACAGGGCATTTTAACCAACCGGCATGCCGGGCTGCTCGGGGGTGCTCGGGAACACTGCACAGGGAGGGGGGAGAGGGGGGAGAGTTAGCACCGAGTGTCTGTCACAGGTACAGTCTCAGGGGAAGGCGGCAGGTTGGGCTGACCACACACGTGCCCAGAGCCCGCGTGGCCAAAGATCCCCTGCTTCTGGGAGATGCTCAGAAAGGCAAAGAGCCCTGGCCGGTGAGGCCCAGTGGATAGAGCGTCGGCCTGCGGACTGAAGGGTCCCAGGCTCGATTCCCGGTCAGGGCACATGCCCGGGTGGCGGGCTCGATCCCCAGTGGCAGGCGAGCAGGAGGCGGCAGATCTATGATTCACTCTCATCATTGATGTTTCTGTCTCTCTCTCCCTTCCTCTCTGAAAGTAATAAAAAAATATTTTTTAAAAAAGAAAGGCAAAGACTGGGAACCAAGCACATGCGCGTCCGCCCCAGTCCCCCCTACAGGACCCGGGGTTACGGGGCGTCAGGGGCACTAAGTTAGTGCGAGGGGAGGGGCCCACAGTCCCTCTGGAAGTCGACGTCTGAACGCTCACTACACTCCGTTCTCCGGACGCAGTTCACCACTAAATACTGTCACACGACCCCAGGCCTCCCGGTAACTTATTAAAACAGAAGCTTAGGAAGATGGAAACCAAGCTAAAGCAGCCTTCCTCTGAACCTGGAAAACGACGGGGTGTTACGCCACGGCTGTGATGCTGCCGCACATACACGTGCTCGCACCCCAATACCAAAGGGGACCAGGTGAACTCCGTATCTGAGCCTCGTTTGTAGAAAGAGCTGCCAAAACAGGGCATTTTAACCAACTAGCAGCCCAGCGTTAGAGAAAGTGACCAGCGACAGGAAACGGTGACCTTTTCACACTCCCGCCCGCCACGCGGCTGGTCGGCCACGGCTGCCCCAGCCTCGCTCGTGGGCCCACAGACACCCCTCGGAGCCCTGAACATGTGAAAGCCCCAATTCAAAATGAAAACCAACCTTTTAAAATATACATATTTTTTATTGATTTCAGAGAGGGAGGGAGAGAGATACAAACATCAATGATGAGAGAGAATCACGGATCAGCTGCCTCCTGCACGCCCCACACTGGGGACTCAGCCTGCAACTGGGCATGAGCCCAGACCGGGAATCGAACCGTGACTTCATTGGTCAATGCTCAACCACTGAGCCACACCAGCCGCGCAAAAGCCCAACTTAAAGACTCCGCTGGAATGATAGCGATATTTCGATTTATGCCCCGGCTCTGAGTCTAGCGGCTGAGGCAAGCTGGGAGCCTGGGAAGCCACAGGGCGGGTCTGTGCGTCCCCGAGCGGTGCTGGGGGACGGTCCCCTGCTCCCAGTCGATGTCCTCGTCGTCGTGCACCAGCTCCTTCTTCACCACCTTCATGGAGTAGATCTGGTCGTTCTTCTTGAGCTGCACCAGGAGGACCTTGGCGTAGCTCCCGTGCCCGATGACCCTGATGAGGTCGAAGTCCTGCAGCCCCAGCCCCTGAGAAATCTTGATGCCGTCCATCCCGTCGATGACCGGCTTGAGGTCCTCCGAGTCATCTTTAATGCTGTCACGTTTCCGGGAGGAGGAGATGTAAGGAATGCCATCGGTCTCCTCGGGAGCCAGGTCCACGTCGTCGTCCTTGTCATCTACCGGAGGCTCCTGGGATGGCATGACGGGATCCATATGCCTCTGGCAGGTCAGCGGGACGAGCACGTGGCAGCCCTTATGGACCAGCAGTTTGCAGTTGACGCACCGGTAGCCCTGCCTGGTGAGGCCCCATATCCTCTCGCTGCACTGGCCGCAGTACGCTCTCCTGTTAAAGCGCTTGGCTTGGAAGAGGTGGCCGTTGGCGCGGTACAGCTTCCTCCATCTTCGGGCTCCGCGGCGGCGGTAGATGTATTCCTGAATGATGAGCCCGTCGCTCCTGCGCTGACAGGACAGGCGGAAGGCCTCCTCCAGCTCCATCTGGGAAGACACAGTGCAAGGGTCACCTTGACTGTCCACCCACTTGAGGGTGAGCGGCTGGCCCTGGGGGAGGCTGCACATCTCCCTCACTTCCGCACACAGCTCCTCGAAGGTGGTGGCGGCGTCCAGGCTGGTGACCAGGATGACCCTGGGCAAGAGGATGCGGAGACGTCACAGGGTGGACACACACATCAAGTGTAAGGCAGACGACCGATTAATCAGATTACCGACTAAATAGATGGAACTGCCCCAGAACCACTGACCACGCGTGTTACATTAGCACCACCAAGGCCCCCCGCACCAAGGGACGAGCTGTCCTGGAGC